ACTAAGCTCTTAACTATTTGCTTGTCCCTGGTCCCCAGCCTTATTAACTCTGCTGTCTCAGGGTTGACATGCTCATCTAATGCTTACATTTACCCCTTTCTCAACTCATCTGCCTTGCTGAGCTGTGTGTGAACCAGTAGCTATGGTAGAGGGTCTCAAGACCTCCCATCTAATCACAAGGTTCTTCTGCAAGACTCTTTCATTTTCTTTTTCTTTTTTTTTTTTTTTTTTTTTTTTTTTTTTTGGTTTTTCGAGACAGGGTTTCTCTGTGTAGCTTTGCGCCTTTCCTGGAACTCACTTGGTAGCCCAGGCTGGCCTCGAACTCACAGAGATCCGCCTGGCTCTGCCTCCCGAGTGCTGGGATTAAAGGCGTGCGCCACCACCGCCCGGCTCATTTTCTTTTTTAAAAAAAAAATTTATTTATTATCTATCCAGTGTTCTGCCCGCATGTTTGCCTACCAGCCATTAGAGGGCACCAGATCTCATTACGGATGGTTGTGAACCACCATGTGGTTGCTGGGAATAGAACTTAGGACCTCTGGAAGAGCAGCCAGTGCCCTTAACCTCTGAGCCCTCTCTCTAGCCTGATTCCTTCATTTTTCTAATGTGGTCATATAGATTTGACTCAACTATGAAGAAACCATAGAAAATGCATAAAATACTTGTTCCCTTGCATAGTATACCTACAAGAGTATTTATTGACACATCAAAGGTATGATTAGTCTCTGATAATCACTTCCCATGGCTCTCTGCCAACAGAACAGAGGACAGAAGCATATAGGAACTGGGAATGCTAATCACAAGGCTGGGTCCTAGTGATAAAGTGTTCCATTAGCATGTGTGAGCCCCTGATTTTATTTACCAGCATTGCTGAGAAGACTCACTGCCTATCTGGGCTGCCAGGCTTCATTAAGCCTTCCCTTTATTACAGTCTGGGATAGAGTACGTATACAGCTATGCTGCTGTCTCTTATTGGAAATACCGATGTGAAAATGCAACTAAAATATCAGAAATGTTGAGGATCCATTGATATTTGCTTCACAGAGCAGAGGCAGGAAAAGCTACACCATCTCACAGCAGCAGCCAGACCACGAGAAAAGTCATTAATGTAATTCTTAAATATTCATGAAACCATGACTAACTTGTAATTATGCTCCAAGGCAGGAGCAAAGCATGGCACATGTACTTAAAGTTCAAGTCAAGAGTCTTTAAAGTAACAAGTAGGAAACCTTGGTTTATCTGATTCCTTGCCTTATTGGGCACTAAAAGAGAAATGAACAGTTTTTTAGTATGTAGATTAAAAAAAGAAAAGAAAGAATTCCATGGCAGAAGAAGCCCCTAACATGTCCCCAGCACATGATGATGTCACCTAATGATCCAGGGAAGTATTTAAACCATTCAGTAGCAATCACAGAATCACCTGTCACCCAAGACAAGTTCGCTGCTCCAGAGTGTCATGGTGTTTCATCCCCTGGGACGCACATCATATTTTGACTGCAACCAAAGAGTTTTCCAGAGACTGAGCACAACCAAAGCCAGGTGAGAGTGCAGCTTCAGGAGACCTGCTTTTTCCTTTTTACCTGCAACTATCTGCGTGAAAAGTTGAAGCCCCTGTCAGGAAGCACAGGAGAAAATATCCCAAATAACTGCAACTGCCTCCATGTGACCTGGTGACAAGTGTCAAGTGCTTCGGTATGTCTCCTACCAAGTCCCCGGGGGTATCAGGTGTTTCCATTCCAGGTAGTTACAGAAACAGTTTGGGGGAGGCAAGTGGAAAGGAAGGAACGGAGTCCCGAAACCAGTGCTTGCTCCGTCGCCCATTCCCACCTCTTAAAAGCAGTTGGCATCATGAAAGTCTAGTGGGCAACACCTTCAAATGCATTGCCTGCTATGAGCAAATGGGAAATAAGTCCCGAAGCTGTGTTTGTAAGATCGCCCCATTTGGTATCGATTGCCTCCAAGGGTCTAAAAAGAAATTGCTGCTACTCCAACATCTATCCTGTCTCCCCAAAGCATATTGTCTTTCTTTGGTTCAGTTTTGAAAGTCTGATTGGATTTTAAGGTACCAGAGGCTGAGATAAATTCAGTCTATAAAATGAAAGGATGTGGTCATTGCCTCTGAGGTGTTTATAGTCTGAAGAGGGAATAGGCTTTAATAAACCAAGGTTATTGTCCACTTTTGTAAGCAGAACAAGAGTTACAAAGAAGGTAGCGTTTATAGAAGGGCTGAACCTGGATGGTCTGGATGTCACTGGAGGCCGGCTAAACAGTTTTAAAGGATGGGTAGGTGTTAGGCAGGCAGGCAGGCAAGGGGACCACACAGCCTAACATGAAAGACACACGGGAGGCCCTTGATACATAACTATCAAGTGGATAGAATGGCAGAGGGTAGAAGAGAAAGGCTGAAGATGCCTTCAATTACTTTAGTTCACACGGCTGGATGGGGCTGTCACTGTCTGAGATAAAACATGAATGAGGTGATGTTTTATCTCTGTCCTACTCCAGTCTACAGGACCAGTGTGGTTTTACCTTGTCTCACAGAGCCCATTGCCTAGAAGAAGGCCATCGACCACGCAGGGCTAAGTGAGTTTCCCTTCCCCTGATACATGAATGAAGCAATCACGAAGGACTGGGTCAGTTGGCGCTGGAGATCTGAGTTATTATCAGAGAGAATTTCTGTGGAGTTGGTGCTGGGTGAGGCAGTATGGAGGGAGCAGAACATCCATAATTAGCAGAATAATACATCCTCCGAAGGAAAAGCCAAGGAAGGAGGCAGGCAGGGAAGCAGAAAAGAAGGAAGGAGTCCAGAACCAGGCCCTTGAAGCCAGGGGAACTTGAGGATTCTGCCCCAGATGTTGTGAGTTCTTTTTCTTACAACAAACACATTTTGTCTTTAGTTTTCATGGATTTTTGTTTCTTACACTCACATGTACTTGAAGGTAGGAGAGACTGATGAATACACATACATACACATATATGTGAGTCAAACATATATATATATATATATATATATATATATATATATATATATATATATATATATATATATAATTTGAGGCTATTTTCTAATATAAAAGCCCACAGCTTTGGAGATATTTTGAGGTGATGTTTATGGACATATATGTTCTGGTTTCTAAGCCTTTCCATTTCTCTCAACTTCCAAAGCAGTCTTGTTTTGATTTCTTCCACTTGGTAGGTGTGATGAAGAATGATAAAAACAAGGATCGAGCCGGGCGGTGGTGGCGCACGCCTTTAATCCCAGCACTCGGGAGGCAGAGCCAGGTGGATCTCTGTGAGTTCGAGGCCAACCTGGTCTCCAAAGCGAGTTCCAGGAAAGGCGCAAAGCTACACAGAGAAACCCTGTCTCGAAAAACAAAACAAAAAAAAAAACCAAAAACCAAGGATCGTTATTCCTGTTTTACAACAGAGGATGGAGACAGTGGTAAGAAGGTAGATCCCACTGGCACTCATCCTCACCCCCGTGTCTCTCCTCACACTTCTAGAGCAGCAACAGCATCACTAGCAGCTTTACACAGAGCATCCAGGAAATCACGGCGAAGGAAAACTTTAGGAATCAAACGGCACCCTGATCAGAAAGTTGGGGAAGAAGCTGCCTTGAAAACGGATCTGCATTTTCTGAACCGTCCTTTGAACCAAGAACACCCAAGGAGCTAATTTTCTGCCTAGTATCTCCCTTTCATCTTCCCATGCTATAGTATACCCAGACTTCTGTTTTATTTTTTATTTTTTATTTTTTATTTTTTTTTGGTTTTTCGAGACAGGGTTTCTCTGTGTAGCTTTGCGCCTTTTCCTGGAACTCACTTGGTAGTCCAGGCTGGCCTCGAACTCACAGAGATCCGCCTGGCTCTGCCTCCCGAGTGCTGGGATTAAAGGCGTGCACCACCACCGCCCGGCTTTCTGTTTTATTTTGAGACAGGGTTTCACTAAGTTGCCCAGGGTGACCTTGAATCTGTGATTCTTCCTGCGTCAGCCTCCCAGGTAGCTGCTTATTTACTACAAGCCTGTGCCACCAAGCACAGCTCTCCCTTCCATCTTTTAGTTCACCATCCCCCAAAGGAATCATGGAATAAGGGCAGCTGGACTGTAAGACAGAATCTATCGGGAAACTACCTAGAAATCCTTTGACTTCTCCAACTCTCAGTTTTATTTATGTATAAAAAGGGAAAGCAATATGGATGGTGCCAGAGGTTGTACACACACACACACACACACACACACACACACACACACACACACACACACACGTACGCACACGCATGCACACACGCACAAAGGACCATAGTCCTGGTTGATTGTTGTGGATATTTCCTTTACACCTGGAAAATGTTTCACTCTACAGGGATTCTTACCATGCAGGGTGGATGCATGGATCACCTGAAATGTTTCACTCTGCAGGGACTCCTTACCATACACAGTGGATGCGTGGACCACCTGGATTAGGTGGCTGTAAGAGGCTAGAGGAGGATGCTGAGACACCTCTTATCTGCTACCCCTCATCAGTTTTGTCTGAGCACTGGATTTCTACATGTGAGTCTCTAGGTCCGTAGTTTATTTCCTTTACTGCAATGGAACCCAGACACTGAAATATCACTAGGAAATTTAACGAACTACTTATGAGAACAGCGCCTCCTTCTAGAATAGTCAAGTTAAAGCAGCCTCCAAAATCTAATGCAAAACCAAAGATTTTTTACTCAATTCAAGTTCTACGGGACATTATCTGCAAATTACCCTAGATGGATTATAATGGAGGAACATACTTTTCCCCACCTAAGAATAAACACTTGAAAGAAATGTATAGCATCATCAAAACTCTTTTGTCAATTCAGCCTTGATATTTTACCCAGTATCTTTATCACTTGATAAAAGCTCACCTTCTAGGACAATGAAAAAGCTGTAAATTATAGTGTATTTAAACACATGAAATTTCATAAACAAAGACAAACACCATTTGACTTGAAAATATGAAGTCGGTGTCTCACCTCTGCTTCAATACTCTTTGGTCAATGAGTCCATTATCAAGGTTTTCAGCTGGATGCAAAGATGTCTGGTCTCCATAGCTGGTGAGACTGGAGTTCTCTTCATGCCTGCAGCAAAGTGGAAGAGCTGTGTGATTGCCATGGGCTGTTAAATAAAAGCAATAGCCACTGATCTCAGGGTGTTCGAGGGGGAAGGCTCAGCCCATCTTGATCCTTATCTGAGCTCCTATGAGACTCATGGCTAAGAATATTGATTGCAAAGAAGACCCCATACATTACCTCACACAGTGGCTTCTCTATGGAGTGGACTGATGCCAGTTCACTTTATTGCCTTCATCAATCTGGCGGAGGGTGTGTGTGTGTGTGTGTGTGTGTGTGTGTGTGTACAAAACAGAAGTCAACCTCAGGTGTCATTTCTCAGGAGCCTTCCTGCTGTTTTATTATGAATAGGGACTTGATGATTACTCTAGGCTGGCTGGACCATGGGCCCCAGGTATCTCCATCTCCTCAGTGCTTGCAATTGTGTGCCACTATACCTGCCCTTTCATGTGGGTACTGTGTAGTGAGCGCATGTCTTCATGCTTACATAACAAGCCCTGTACAACCGAGCCATCTCCTCAGCTCCCAATCCGGCAGGTTTTTAAATGGCGTAAGACTTTCCTTTAAGAAATGATAGTAAGAGTAGTCTGTTTTTCTCAGTTATTATTCTTACAGTAAAAACAAGTACTTACCCATGTCAGATCGTGCCCCGACTTCCTACTATTTTCAAAGTAAGTTTTTTTTTTATTATCATAAAATCTTTTCATCTTAGAACCACACTCCATTCTTCCAAGTGAGGAAACCCAGAAGCCCAAAATGAAAAGAAGCTTGCTCATGGCCACAGGCTACATAGTATACTGTGTGTCAGAATTTGCACCTATCCCCTCCAATTTATCCCATTCAGTGATTTCTCTACCAGATCCAATGAAAACAGTAATCAAAAAGCCACTGCAAGCCACACATTCCTGTTATTTGCGTAGTTCTGAATAGGATGTATCCTGCTTAGCTGTTTCTTTGCAAAATAGTATACTAGGCAACCAACCACTGAATGGAATATTCAAGTTAAAACCCATTTGCTCTCTCTGATCTAACTCTATTATAGATTTTTTTAAGAATGAGTCAAAAGAATCATTTATTCTATATTTCATCTTCCAGTTGAATAGGCTCAAACCAAAAGTGGTAAAAAGTCAAATAAATGCCCAGGGTTAGATGAGTAGCAAATATAGCAGGGATCTGAAATCACATATATTAGCTGCATAACTGTGGGGTTACTTCAAATTTCCTGTCTTTGTTAAGCATTTTCTACAAACGTTTGATTCCATGGCATATATCCATATCTGCTTATTATTGTCCTCAACTGACAACATATTCTTTAAGTACAATGTGCTTGGCAAATATAACCAATAGGCAACTTGTGATTTCACACAAGAATACTTTCACCTAAACACAAGACTACACAAATCCTTAAAGTAAGTTGGAAACTTGCTGGATAGAGCAATAACTCACATTCATAAATCTCTGGGCTACAATATGCCCAACCTTGGCTACAATTGAAAGTAGCTGTCATAACCTGGTTAAGAAAGTTTCATAACTAACAAAGGACTGTGTTGGTCTGGTAAGTGGAGCAAAGATTTGCCCAGAGATTATGTTGTCTTATAGTGTGAATTCAGGCAGTGAGGAGTGCGATTACTTTCTCAACATGCAGATGAAGAAACAAGATTTCCAACACGGGAGCAAAATTAATTCAAGTCAGTGGTAAAACCAGGATGGATGAAACCCCAAGCTTTTGGCAGTCCAACCAGCTCCAGTGTGTGGCAGAGCAGTCTAAGTGGATTTACAGGCTGCTGGTTTTCTTCTGAACTGTGCCCAAGGAAAGATCAAGATTCCAGTCAATGGGAAGGGACTTCCAGCTCAGAAGTTCTAGCCACCCCAAAGTGCCTGGAAATGACATTGCAATCTCTCTGAAATTCACCCCCCACCCCACCCCCGCCCTTTGCTAGAGAGGATTAAAAGATTATAATGGGAACTTCACAAAAAGTCACAGACCCAAGACCATGCCGCAACCATGTATGGAAGAAATCCTTCAAATAAGTCACTTGCAACAATTTCCAGTCTAACCTCATTTATAATTATTTTTATTTTTATTTTAAAAAACAACATCTAACTCTGTAGTCCAGATCAACCACAAACTTGCAGCAATCCTTCTGCCTCAGCCTCTCAATTTTTCCTGGAATTACAAATCAACCATGTCTACTCTTCAGCCCAATGTAAGACTAGCCCTTCATAGCTACTGGTCCCACACATCTAAGTACTCTAGAAATCAAATCACTTAAGCCAAGACTCTCTAACATTATATTGCTTATTAAGAAAAAGAGAAATATTTATAATTACAGGCCTAGTTTTAGGAAAGGTAAAAAGAAAATGATACTGTCAAATATCACATCTTATTTTTTTAATGAACTGTAATTGGTCAATAGCAAACATTTAATCTTTAAAGTCTTCCTAAGTCTTAAAAAGGGAAACATTAAACCAGAGTGCCTGAGAGAATCTTGAAGCATAGATTGGTGAAATGAACATTTTAATTGATAAATCTTATTATCATTCCTTTAGATTGAAAAGTCTGAGGTAAAAACAAACAAATAAAGCCACCCTCCAACCTTAGGACTTTTACTTTCTACATGATTTCTCTAGCATTCTGTCACAGTGTTCCATATTTTATGGCTAACTCCCAAAGAATTATGAAACTCAATTGTGGTGAAGGGGTTAGCAAATTCTATTGTGAAGGTCCTAGAGAAGAGAGTCTGAATTAGTCACCACAGAGAGGTCTAAGCAAATAAACACACAAATGAACAAAGGGCTTGGGACAAGACAAAGGAACAGCCACAGGTCCCTGTGGCAGCCTGGTCACAGCAGCTCATCCCCTTTCCACACTTAATATATGCATGGTTACTCTTGGCTCCACATCAGCTTGTTCGGGAAGTTCCTGCCTGCAGGATTGCCCTAAGAACTGCATGCAGCCAGTGTTTAAAGAACAGAGGAAATAAAAGCAACAAAGCCTGGCACAATTCCTCACAAGAGTTAGTCAAATATTAGAAATCCTGTGCACACTGTCTAGCTGAAAATTGGCCACAGTTTTGAAAGAGCTTTGATTGTTTGCCACAAGGCAAGAGCCATGCAGACACAGGAACGAAAACCAAGCCCGTTCACGCGTGTACTCACTCGGGGGCAGCTTGTGCCAGGGTCAACAGGGAGGTCTCTCTGGGGCCTCCAGTGGGCTTCAGCCATTGATTGCTCTGCTTGTATTTTTTAATGAAGTCCATCAGAACAGCCTGGTGTCCAATTTTCTTTACCAGTTGCTGTATCATCCGATCATTAAGTGCCAGGAGTGCAGCTCCGCTGACTTCTTCCTCTGGGAAAAAGAAAGTTAGCTTTCATATCACTTCCCAGGAAAACATGGGCATGGAAAAATAAAGATAAAACTAGTTCTAGTAGTAAAAGGATCATCTAAGCTTGTGGTGGCAGTTACAACATTATCTGTCAGAGCTCTGAAAGTGCGTAGTTTCAAGTTGATGTCTGTTGCTAAGAAATTACCAGAACATGGAGTCCCAATAAAAACTTTTTGTTTGCACATTAACACCCTTTCCCAGGCCAATTTTAACAGTCAAAAGAAATAGAAGGTCTTTGGGAGAAAACTATGTGTATAATACCTCCTAGTTGATATTTAATATTGGCACATCCCACACTGTATAAAACACATGTGATTATGCAAGACAAAAGAAACATACAATGTCTGTATCAAACGTAACTCCCAAGAGTTTGCAATTGACTATAAATAGTATTCTCGTCAGAGGGTGGTAGGTAAAACTGGAAACTGCCCCAGACTATAGGAAAGAGATGAATGAAGTTCTTCATCCAAACAACCCCTTTCACACTACAGGCAGACACAGGGCAACATAAGCAGCTTTCACAAGAAAGGGCCCCTGAACAACTGCATGACTCAATCAAATTCACTGAAAGAGTAAACAACTTACCTTGAAACCTGGGGACTAGCTCACCTAAGTTTTTCTCCACCAACCACGTGCAGACCTGATCAACTGACCACGTTTCCATTGCCGGATTCTTGTCAATAAACCTGTAGAGTGAAAGGTGAAGATAGCTTGCCTGTCTGCTTTCCTTCCTTCCTTCCTTCCTTCCTTCCTTCCTTCCTTCCTTCCTTCCTTCCTTCCTTCCTACCTTTCTCCCTGATTTCTGGTCCTTGACTTTTTTTTTAAATAGCTCTCTACTTTGCTACACTCTTTCCAATACTTAGCTCTTAAAAAATTAATATTTTCTTTTTTTACAATGCACATTTAAAAGATGCTAATAAGCAAATACTTGCTTTAAAGATGGATTTTAGTCTATTGCCTAGTCTCATGTCTTCACCTTCTCCTACTTTATTTCCACAGGCATCCCTCAGTCTAACTAACAGACAGCCCGTGTGCGTACAATGGCACCCAATCCTGTACCATTAACACCCAGGTTTCTTCACAAAGAACAGAAAGGTGTGAAATCATCAGGAAGTGGTTGACATTTACCGAGGGGTGGGCAGGGGAGAAAGGAAAGAAGGATCAGATAAAAGCCTGACTGCAAGAGATGAGTAAACCGGGATGGCTTAACCCTTTCTGCTCCCAGCTAGGAAAGGGGGCTTCCCATCACCCTGGCAGTTTTGGGTTAACAGAAGTCAGTGCCAGCTTTCTCAGGGAAAGATGACTTCTAGTACCATTCTCCCATCCTTCCAGTGTTCCTCTTGAATATTCTATTGCGTTCTCAAGTGGTACCAAACACTATTATAACTGGTAAAGCAGCTAGTATCATTTTTCTTTTTTTTTAGTTTGGCAGATTCAAATATTAGGAAATAATTGAAATGTTAATGTTGTTGAAGTGAAAGAAACAAGCACAGACTTGGCAAGGTACATTTTTTAAAAAAAAAAATGGGTCATAGGGATTTATTAAATATAAATTGAGGAAACACACTCACAAATACAGAATGGAGTAGACAGCTGAAGTCGTCCTCTGAGCTGACCGGGAGCAAATCCACCTGGCAGGCAGGAGCAGGGAGAAGGGGCATGTGACCCTTCTCCCTCTCCTTTTAAGAGGTCATGCACAGCGGCAGGAAGCACCGCCTTCTTCAGGCCCTATAGCCCAAGGTTGGGAAGGTATATTCATAGCTACTCACCAAATTGGCATGCCACCAACCTATCCTACCAACTTCCATGATTTTCCCATTTTCTCAAGGAAGGGCCTTTTCTGTCTTTAGAATTTAATACAAGGGACTTCTAAGGAACTGATAGAAACAAAAAACAAAAGCAAAAAAACAATCCTAAAATATTTTAACCTTTCACCATTATTTCCAATATTGACTTTCATTCCAGATGATTTATCGTTTCGCTATATGATACTAACTATATTATAAAGACAGAGGAAAAAGGTCCCCTTGGTGGAATTGGAATTATAGGGAAAGATTAAAAAAAAAAGTATTAGTTTATGTGTTTACATTTTATTGATGGCAGTTTTAAAAATAAATGTGTGTGTGTGTGTGTGTGTGTGTGTGTGTGTGTGTGTGTGTGTGTGTGTTTAAGTAAGTTATAGTTACCAACATCAGACTAAGAATGGTCAGAAGAAAAAAGATGTACCCTGACAATAACAGACTACAAAAGCAATTTCCTAGAAAACAAGAAACTTCAAGGTAACAGGCCACATCCTCCTAAGTATCCACAAACACCGACTGGAAAATCGAAAACAAGGGTTAAATACAGAAGAACACCTTTTGAATTTCAACAGTGGGTTTAATCTGCTTCAACAAACAGTAGCCACAGAACTCCTCCCCCAGGCTAAGCAGCAATCGCGGGGTGTGAAAAGTCATTATTTGCAAGACTCTGGTGTAAATTAAAAATCACACCTTTCTGTCACACTTCTGGCTTCCTTGCGAAGAGTTAGAGTCAGAAAAAAAAAAATAGAAAAGTAAGAAGAGAGAGAGAGAGAGAGAGAGAGAGAGAGAGAGAAAGCAATCTCTAAACACCAAGATTAGGTGGTATGCAGAGTAGGAGGTCCTGCCCTGCAGCCAGCCATTGATAGGAGAAAAGAAAGAAAAATAGTACTTGGAAACACAGGTATTTTTAGTTGGTAGGGGCTTAGTCTAATTCTGCTTCTGGTAAAAACACAACAATTATTGAATAATGAACTCAGACAAATGTAAGAAAATAAAAACTGGTAGTTTTCACTCTGGTGTTTCTGAGTATCAAATAAAATATGATTGTTGCCTAGCCAGTTCAACACTGTCGTGTTAGAAAAAGCACTACATCCAATGAGGGGGGAAATGTATCCAGGTTAAGTTTCTGAAAATACATCAAAAGACCAGGGCAAATACTGACTCTAAATGCTTACTTCACACAGTAACAAGAAAATAAAGAAGAAAAATTAGTACCATGTGTGAGCATACCAGCCAACAACTCTAATTTGATTAAGTTTTGCTTCCATGAAATAAATTTGTATAAAATATTAAAGGGGGTGGGCCTATCTAATTAAAGCCAAAAAGAGGTTAAGATTTGAAGTAAAGCAGCCTACATAGGAGGGAATTTTATTTCATAAATTTGTTAAACTCCAAGGAAGATAATAAGGTAGACTGCTGTGATCATGACTTAGAATTTGTAATATAACACAGAAGTATTAACCACAATGGAGCAGTTTTTTTATATTTTAATAAAATATTTAAAAATTTTGCCTTTTTTCCCCCTGTCTTCATTTTTTCATTTTCCTGCAGTCTAAAAGCTGAGACAAGAAGATTGCTAGAAGCTTTGCTCACACAGCTATGTGTCCACGTGTGGAATAGTCCCTCATCCCACCCTACAAAGAGCTTCTAATTTATGGACGTAACAAAACAAGCCATGGAATAGAAGTATCCCAGGCTACAGCTGTCATACAGTCTAATGTCTAGCCATTGTGTTGAGTAGCAGTCTTGGTAGCATTTTAGATGACAGCATCATGGTACTCATTAGTATTGTACCTGTTTCTTGAAACCCCCAGAGACCACCAAGGAGCCAGTTTCTGATGCAAGCACATAAGGGTCCTTTTATTCAGGTTCAACCTGGGCCACTGCATGGCAGATGGAAGGAAATGTGGTGGCAACCACAAGCCTAGGTGTGGAAAGTTTTTATAGGGAAAAACCACAAGCCGGGAATTACATGCTTGGGATTGGGTAGAAGGGATATGGGGCAAGGTGATTTTTTGAAAATATTGGTCTAGACTTTGGGTGAGAAACCACATTTGAAACCACTGGGTTAGACTTTTGGTGGGTAACTACAACCCACTGAACAAAATTATCTGGATCTTGTTAAAACTTACTGCCCTGTATCTGTTCAAGTTGCCATGGCACATTCTTGATATTCTCCCTGGAACTGAGTACAGCAGGTGGTCTGAGATGGTGGCCCTTTCCCTAAGATGGAACCTGTAAAGTCAAGTCTAGACCTTCACAATCAGCACCTTATCTACTTGGACCAACGTTCATCTCTCCTATCACTAGACAGGATGGACTGCAAACTGGAATAGTCAACTAGAATACTTTCATACTTCAGTTATCAAGATGTTTGCTGCAGATAGCTCAGATCAGCATGAGCAGATACACAAAGGTCTTACCAGAAAAATAAGATGCAACATTAACAGAGAAACAGAACAAGACAGGGCCAGTTGAGATGGGGAACAATGTTGGAAAATACCAAGCTGCTGAGTTTCCCCTTAGTGTCTGGGAAATGAAAAAAATCTTGATCTGGAATGTGATGATAGGTGTAATTTAAACAGTGAAGGAGCTGGGAAAGGTGTGGTCTCTGAAAGTAGACCCCTGCTTCTGGAATAGGAGCCACATGGTAGACAGTGTCATTTGGAGTTCTGAGCTGTTTGCAGATACGCTTGGGCATGGGAGTATCATTGATTGAGAGAGTGTTTCATCTTTCAAAAGATTATTTAGGCAGCAAAGTCAGAAAACTGCAAGAAAGAATTCTTTCTTGAAGCAAAAGTCACACACACTAGAAGAGTTTAATTTCCTCCGGCATTAATATAAGTATCAATTTTCAGTCATTTATTTAAAGCCTTGAACTCTTATAGGAATAATATTTCATTTTTCCCCATTAATTTTTGCCAGAAAAACATCAACAACTACAAAGCAAGCAGACATCAAGTAAGTAAAACACATACACTCACGGAGGCTGCCCATGAGGTATAGAAACTGGCCGGATTTTGTACACATAAGTGTCTGCGATTGAAGCCAGTTGGTGAGATAACACAACAGAAATTCGTTTGTATAGTCTGCACAAGACATCAGGCTGAGTTCCCAGCCCCCATGCAAAAAAGTAGATGCCCCAACGGTACAGCTGGAATTTTTGATTGTCTTGATTTTGTAAACAACTGTCTTTGATAATTTTCTCCAGCAGATCTTATCAGAGAGGTCTATAATTTACCACTTGTGTGAAATCGGGGGGGGGGGGGGAGGAAAAAGAGTGAGCACAAGAGTAATTACCTAACTTCATGTATTTATTATTGTATGTGTACCTGTGGGGGACGGTGGTGAGCACACATCACAGTGTGCAGTGGAGGTCACAGGGTGACTTTGTGAAGTGTTTCTCACCTTTCACATTTACATGGGTTCCAGGGATTGAACTCAGGTGGTTAGGCTCCCCCTTAAATTTTATATTCTTACATTCACCGAGAAACAATCTGGGAGGTTTAAGTGAAACAACAAATGAGAGCAGCCCTGAATAGAGTCTCCAGTCACAGACGCCCGGGTCACGTAGCCTTTCCATCAGACTTGTTTCGTTCCTGCTTCTGGTCATGTTATGGTCAAAGCTCAAGAATCAGGAGCACGGAGTAGATCTTCTTGGCTCTTACCAGAGACATAACTTCAAACTGCTGTTTGTAGCTGTCAGTCCTTTCAAAATCCATTTATAAATTCCAAATCAAGTTCTAGTGTTCATTTGGGGACAAAAAAAAGAGGCTGAAACACTTTGCAGAATGGCTTTAGCTGCTGGATATTAAAACATATCCTATAATAAATTATAAATACATAAATTATAATAAAGATACAAGTCATGTAAAGGAACAAAGGGAAGCAGCATTCAAGTACAGGAAGCTGAGTGGGAACAGGGAAATGAAAATTCACAACTGGGAGAGCTAAGACCACTATTTGAAATCAGTGTTGAAAGAAGGCATTACTCAACATGCTTTGTTAAGACAATGCTCATATCACCTATAAAACGAATAAGTTACTCAGATGAATTAAACATTTAAATGGAAAATTAATTCAAATGACTTAAAATATGATTACATAAAACAAAAAATGGATATATTTCACTAAATATATATATATATAAAATACATAATGCAAG